GATTTTCTCTATTGCTTCTATTGTAAATGCTGGATCTTCTTATTTTCTTCTTTTTAAGGAAGAATATTATTCTGATTTTGCTCAACTTTTAAAAGAAGGTCCAACAGTATACAATGTGGTTGATTTTATAACACAAAATGACCACAGCTGTTTAATTATAGAAAAAATTAAACCAACAATTAATTATGAACACATTCAATTCTCATTGAAGATGTTAGAAATGAATCATCTCCTCTAATTAAAAGAGAATTTATTGAATGGGATGATGAACTAGAAGAAGCTGATGAAGAGTTTTAAATAAGAAGACAACAATATGAAACTGAAAAACAATGTTGTTTTTTTGTCAAAAAATTTTTATATTTGTTGAACAAAATTATCAAAATTATAGATTTGAATAAATATTTATTTTTATTTATTATAATTGTAAGTTAAATATATTTTTAATAAGTCAATATATCATTATTTTTATTTATTGCTGTTTTTGAAATATCTGATCAGGTGATCTGCGATACAAAAAAATTATTTTGAATATTGTGAATGATGCACAATCACGTATATTAAAAATTAGCCAAATAAATAAAAAATCTTGTTTTTATGTTATTTTTTATTGTCTACATATCAACACTTGTTTTTATTAAATTATAATGTACATAGTAGTAAGTTTCTTCTCTTTGATTTCAATAATTACAATTTTTACTTTTTTCAATTTCAAAGATTATTAGCTTTTTAATAATAAATTTATAGATACCATGAGAATACAGTGATGATCTATACTGGTGAGTTGTTTACTTGGAAAGTGAAAGTCATAATTCACAAAAAATTTCTAAAATTTTATTCATTAGTAAATCTACTGTAAATAATATTCTCAAAACATTTGCTAAGTGGGGTTGTGTAATAACTCCATTTAAAGGAATACCTGGATACAAAAAGAAATTTTCAAGAAAAGAACTTCAAGTGTTTCAACAACTTGTAAAAGAAAAAAATTGACTGGTATTTGGATGAACTTTTGGTTGAAATGGAGAGACTAACTAGAAAGTCTATATCTGTGTCTACTCTTTGGCATTTGTCAAATTATTGTGATATAATTATAAAAAGGTTTGATAATAATTATTATTATTATATTTTAATTTTACATTCCAAATATAATAATATTTTTTTTAAAGTTACAAAAGGCTACTAGTAAAAGAAATGAAATAGTTCATAGTAATTTTATGGCAATAATTGGAAACAATTGTACACCTGAACAATTAATTTTTCTTGATAAAAGTTCTAAAGATAAATGTACACTTTCACATTTTTATGGATATTTTTCTACTTATACACATGCAAGAAAAAATATAGTTTTTATTTGTGGAAAGTGATATACAATTCTTCCTGCACTTACTTTAGAAGAATTTATTACTGTAGATATTATGGAAGGAAGTTGTGATAAAAAAAGATTTACTGATTTTGTTCATTCACAAATGGTAAGTAAATTATCATATAATATATTAATAAAATCATTCTAATATAATGTATGTTGATGAATTTATTTAATAAATATTTTATTATTAGCTTCCTCAAATGAATTCTTTTCTAGGAAAAAATAGTGCAATTATTCTTGATAATATAAAAATTCATCATAATGAGAATTTAATAGAAATTCTTGAAGAATTGGGATTTATATTATTCTTCTTCCACCATATTCTCCAGATCTAAATCCAATAGAAACAGCATTTGGTACTGTCAAAAGTTGAATTAAATGAAATTGTGACTTTATGAATACAGATGTTGATCCAATTCATGCATTAATGATTGCATTTGGCAGCAAATTATTTAAAAGTTCAATATATTTTCTAAAATAGACAAATAAATCAAATAATAAAATTACATATATTTGTAAATTTTAAAGATTCAATTATTTTTTTTAAAAATAAATAAATATAATTAAAAATATAAAATTTTATTATTATTATTTAAAGAAATTTCACTAACTTGTGATTCAATTTTTATAATTTATAGCTTATTAGATTCCCCTCATTGAGGCGAACATTTTGATAGTTGTTTCATCAAAATTGGAAATATTGACATCAAGTTATTAATCAAAAAGTTAAAGAGATTTTTTATAATAAATACAGGTAGTAATATTATAATCTGCAATTTATAATTATGTGTGCCATCTTTATAAATAATAAGATAAAATATATTTTTAAATTTTAATGATTTATTTTGGTTTTCAAATTAGTGCAATCATGAAAATAAATCAATTTTTATAAAAAATCAAATATCAAATTACATATGATTTACAAATTTAACAAATACTAATGATAGATGAGTCACCTGCACATCTATTTCATTACATTTTGATCTTTTTTTAATGCCGATTACCAAATGACTAAAAAACAATTACAAAATGAATATAAGCGATTACCTTTGGATTAACTTGTGAATACTTTTACTTATTTGATTGAAAAGACTTTCTATAACCTTTATATTTACAAAAATGTATATATATTTTATCTTTAACATAATATTTGCTATATTTTTAAATGATTTAAAGATTTATTTAAGTTATTTTATTACATGTGTGATTTTATTGATTTTATTTCACTATAATAATTATAATAAATATATTTTTGGCAAGAAGAGATAACTGTTTAATAGATATGATTTGATATTGTATTATTTTATATCAAGTTATTTAAGAATATGGGTTTAATATTGATATTTGCTCAATGATCACATGAGATCAGTCGTTATGTCACATTACTAATTTTTATTGGTTAAAATGATCATTAATCATATGATGTTTATTTATTTGTATAAATTATATTAACTGATTTTTTTACATGATCGCAAACCGTGATAATATATTTTTTTTTAAAAAAATGAATAACAATAATACTAAAATATCAATACAAATATTAAAATAAAATTTATAAACTAATATTTATTAGCAGCTTGTCTTATATTTTTTCTCTATCCTATTTTACTGACCCCATAGAAATTAACTCATCATCTGTTAAATCTTTGATAACATTTACAGTTACATTTCCTCTACAAATGTATTTTCTAATGATTTATAAACTTGTAACAGTTTTTGTTGTTACATCCTTTATGCAGTATTTTATGTAGTTTACGCTTACCTTCTTATTATTTATATATTTTATTTGACATTGAACTTTTATAAATACTAAAAATACTATTTAATTAAATTTATATATTCGGAAATAAATAATTAATATTAATTAACACAAACAAATAAATGGAAAGATTTACACTAATAACTCCTACTAAAAAAGGATATTGTAAAAATCAGCATAAATGCTACACATTAAACGTGATCGTCTCCTGACAAACGTGAATAAACTCATACATGTTTCTTTGTGGAAAAAAAATATTCATAGAATATTTATAGTGTACAAACATCACTTTAAAATTTTCACTCAACTATGTCATTTAAAACGGTACGAAAGTTAATGTAGCTCTTCATTTTTGCGATCTCAGTTTTCTACATTTCTTTCGTTTCCAAAAATTGGTACACGAGTATTTTAAACGAAAGGTGTCAGAATGGGACATAATTAGATTCCCTCGATTAATGTAGCCTAGAATCTTATTAACAAATAATAGATTGCTATATAAAGTCCCTTCAGTTTATTACTGATACAGAAAATGGTCAAAGACGTACAAAAGCACTGAAACTTCTTGAACTTTGAGTAAATTAATCACAGAAATCATAAAAAATCCCTAAAAATAAAAATATTCCAAATCATTAAGTGCAAAGACTGCTTATGTTTATTCATTTGCATCTATTGATTTTGAAATAATTTCTAGACTTCCTCTATATCATGATGTATCGCATGGCATGATAAAATATTTGGCTTTTAAAATGCATAATGTATTTCGACTAAAATTCCATTTCACACATCTAAATTAATTACACGTTCAACACATCGATCCACTTTTGAAGAATTAAAGAAAGAATTAGGTGACTACTATGAGAATATGATGAGTATAAAAATGATAATAATGAAATTAAAATTCAATTTAAAGAAGCCGAAGAATTTCCAAAATCAAACAACAACTGATATAGCAACCGCAGCTCCAATAAATTATAAAATACATCCGCAAGCAATTTATACCACTTAAAAATGAAGATTTTGAAAAAAAATAGGAATATGAAAAATACCCAACGGGCTTTAGTTCAATTTGAACACTTGTCGATAGCAATTTATTTATAAATATATAACAATGCAAATTAAAGTTTTCGTTATTACTTTTATTAATCTCTACAACTACGAATGACAAAAATACATTTAAGTAAAACACACTTACCACGCTTACAATAGTAATAGAAGAAAATATATCAAATAATATATATATATAAAATAGTAAAAATATCAATAATATCCTTGTAAGCCGTCAAGGATTCAAATAATATTTTTTAGATGGGCAACATACATTATCCATATCAATAGAAATTTAATTGCTTTCCTCTGAACAAGATCAAAAAGAAAAAATAATAAAAAATCAATAAATAGCATTATAATAAAATAATAAAGATAACTTCGAAATTTGATCTGTTATATCGTTTTTTAACTACTTCTTCCACTAGTCTGAGTAAAGCATTCTGAATAAAAAGCAAAGAATTCTTGAGTAGAAAATTATTCAAGCACGAAACTAAATTATTAAAATTTATTAAATTACAAACATTAATTTTTTCATTTATAATTTATTCATTCATTTATATTGATTTTAAAATCGCTAGATATCCAGTCCAGTTATTTTTAGCTTTAATATTATTAGTAATATCAAAACACTAATAGCAAATAATCAAAAATATATTGTAAAATAATTGATAATGATAGAATAAGTATATTTTTTGTGAAATTATATATTTTATTCATTTATTTAAATAAAATCAAAATCAATTAATTATCATTTTTTTTTAATTGACGAACATCTTTAACTGGAATGTTTGTTTTATAGTTTGAGTAAATTTTATAAAGTAATTTGATTGATCAATTATATCTGTTAATAAGTTTTTCAAGATCTTGAATAACTTTATCAATGTTTGGACGTTGATCTGGTTCTTGTTTCCAACAATCTTTTGAAAAGTAATTAATTAAAATTTGTAAAAATATCTAATATAATCTATTTTCTTTAGATACATTTAATTTAAAATAAAAAATAACCAACCTTGATAGATATTAATATAATCTTATGGTGTCCCTATGACTGGGGTTTCTCATAATCCGTTTCCAATGTGAAGAATTTTCGTAATTTCTAAATATTGATCGTATGGTTTTTTCCCACTTGAAATTTCCCATAATAAAATTTCAAAACTATATATGTCTGAAGCTTTGGTTCTGTTAAATTTATCCCCTTTAATGAAAAGCATTGGATCCGAGTATGCTATTGACCCGGCCATTTTTAAATAAGTAATTGAAGGTTCAGAGATAAGCTTGGCTAACCCAAAATCACTAATCTTGATAATATTATTATCATGGATAAGGATATTCTTCGAGTGCTATAAAAAATAAAATTATATTAAATTTAAACAATTAAAAAAAAAAAACTGTTCATTAGAGTACGTTTAAAAAATCAAATAATTAATTACCAAATCTCTACGAAGGATTTCTTGCAAGTGCAAATGTTCAATTGCTTAGCAATTTGTTGAGCAAGATTTAACTTATCACTCCATTTGAGATTTTTAAAGTTGGATTCTAGATAACGACGTAATGTTTCACCGTTTGCATATTCTAATACAAGTATGTATTCATTACTATTCAAATCTGCATAAATCAATATAAGTTATAAAGTATTTTGCAAAAATATATTTATAGATTAAATTGATATGAAATAATATTTTTACCTTTTTGCGAAACTCCATAAAATTCAATGATATTTTCATGTGAACCAACTTTCGAATGTTGTTTAAGGTGAAAACACAATAAAGGTTATTATAATATTCAAAGTAAAATAATAAATAAAATTTACAATTTTTTAGCAGAAGATCTTATTAAGATAATATTTACCTCATTAACAAATAATTTTATAGAATCAACAACAACAATAAATTTTAAAGCTACTTTCATCTTAGCCATTTTCTCATCCATTAATGTGGCACTGTAAACACTTCCAAATGCCCCTTTACCTATATATCTGAGATTTTAAAAAATATTGTAATCATATTTGATAAACTCGTTATTTTTTAATGTATCATAAAACCATTCATGCTCATTAAAATTATGAGAAGTAGAAGCTTCTCCCTGGTCTTCTATAGCAAAAAATAATATTTTAAAAAATATAAAATTGATGTCAAAATAAAAAATATTATTTAAAGAAATACCTATAGATGAATCAGACGATACAGGATCGCTTTCAAATTCATTATTTCCGAATTTTTCATTATTTTTGAATTCTTCATTATTTCAAGAGAAATATAATAAAAAAAGATATACTAATAATTTCAAAAGAATTATAAATATTTTCTATATAAATATTTTTCTATAGAATGATTATAACATACTTGAACTAATGTCTTTTAAACGATATAAAATAATAAAAAATAATAAATGTCAAAATAAAAATTTAGATAATAAAGAAAAGAAATACCTATGGAACCATATGATACAGAATCGCATTCGAATTCTTCAATATTTTCAAGAAAAATAAGAGAAATAAATTACAAATATCTTCTATAGTTGGTCTTTCGGTTGGGTTACAATGCCATGCGCATGAATAAATGTTGATGTAATTCCAAGGTGTTCCTTTAATCGGTTTTTCCCTTTCATCAGATGTGACTAGTTTTATTATTTGAATATCTGTAAAATTATAAAATGCAGGTCTTCCGCTTGATAGCTCCCAAAAGAGAACCCCCACACTATATACATCTGAAGCTTTGTTTATTTTATATTTTCTCGGATTTAGTAGATATTCAGGATCAGTGTATGCAAACATTCCCCCAATAATAGAATTTGAATCAGAATATAATGATCTAGATGACACAAAATCTGAAATCAACAACCTTCTTTTATGAACCAAAATATTTCTTGAATACTATTAAAAAAAAAGAAATTAAACAACATAAAATAATTTATTTAATTGATATTAAATAATTGTTATATCATATACTTACTAGATCTCCATGAACAATATTTGCTTGATGAATGAAATGTAGACCTCTTGCTAAATCTTTTGCCATATTGATTTTAACTCCCAATCAAGACTTGTGAAATTCTTTCGTAAATACGTCCTCAAGTCACCATCATTAGCATATTGCAACACCAGATAATACGTCTTTGTCAAGGGTTCTAAATAATATTTTTTTTAAATAATAACATTTATTTTTTTTAATAAATAACACATGTATGTGTAATAGCCTATTTTACCTATACTGATTCCATAAAAATTAATAACATTATCATGGTTGGTTACAGAAACCACATCCGTTAACTGTGGTCCCGAAAATTGTATTCAAATTTAATTTCATCTCGAAAATGTATAGATTAATGAAGAAAATATTTGATGTTTACCTTTCTCACAAATTTTTCATAAAAGAATTTGTTGTCATCGGCATAAAAACTTTTTAATACAACATGTTTTCCTAAATTTGTTGAATCAGCACAATAAATTATACCAAATTCTCCATTTGTAATTAGTGCAATATCTTTAAATGTATTATAATCAAATTTTTTAATAGATCGGCCTTTTAAGTCAGAAAAGATTTTAATATTTTCCCTGAAATGTATCCAAATATCATATCAGCTATGAAACGTGAAAACAAAATTTTTTAAAATAATAAATTTACCATTGTTTTAAATCTTTTGTAAGTGATTTAAGCAACTCGGTTAATTCATTCATCTTATTGTTATCAGAAATCGATTTCTTATATTGCCGATAACCAGAATGGTCCACTTGTATGAGTTGCGATCCAACATTGCAAATCTCGTGAACTAAATTAACTTGACGAACAAATTCATCCATTATCTGGGCCCTTGCTATTTGTTCCTCTTCATTTGCATCCATTCTTATGTTTACTGCGAAAGTAGGTTTAGCAATTAATAAAGCACATCCTCTCAAATAAGTTAGAGAATAAGGCCTTATCTTTTTCTCTTTGGAAGGATAACAGTAAACTTTTTATCTTTGCTAGTATGTTCAAATACATAGGATCCTTTTTTAATTGCATTTTGAATCTTAATAACTCGATTTGAAAAGGTTTGATACATATTACGACACAAAGAAATTTTGCTGATTAATGTAGGGTTATCGGTATTGACGGAGGCCAAATAGACAAGAAATTTTATAATACTTATGTCCTCCTCTTTCGCTCTTTTCATCAATTGAAGTAGCAATTGTTGGACTTGAATTAATGAAGCAATATCCTCTTGATTTAATCGTTCATCATTAAAATCAACACTATATTTAACAATATATTAGAGATTAGATAAAATTATTGTAAAATATATCAAGAAAATGAATATCTACATACGCATTATACGAATTAATAAGATTTTTTATATCATGTTCAGCAATGCTTTTGAGGAATTCCAAAAAATCGCTAGCTTCAGATAATTCTTTAATCAAAATCAAAGGCCAGCGAGTATCGTTTATTTTAGCGAAAAAGTTATTTAAATTTCCAAGGGTTAAAATATCATCTTGCAAAATACGTCGAGATTTAATCAGCCAATGGTCTTTTTCATGTGGAACATTAAAAATTTCTATAGTCGTGGATATTTGTTCAAGACGAACGACCCAATTTGGTACAGATGCAAGTTGTTTTAGCGTCTTGACAAGGTTTTCAAAATGCTTTTGTCTTTTGTCGAGAACAACATAATTTTCCATTAATTTAAGTTCGAGTTCAACATTGGTTACATCTTTCCAGAGGGAAACAACATCAGTACATTTTAACTTTTCCCAATCTTGACCTTTATATTGTTTACATAATTGAGCAAAACCTTCCAGTGCTTTAGTAAGTATTGTTTTTGTGATATCCTCAACTGTCAACATTCCTACTACTTCATTAAGATGTTTATTATAAAAGTTTGTAAATGTTTGAGATTGAGCAAATTCATACACTTTCCTTGCCATTTCTATTGTTTCACTATGGAATTCCCAATGGGTAGATTTGGTATCTGTTTTTAAAATATAATCTTGCACATCCGAAACCTTTGTGACTGGACAGAAGATCTCGTAATATGTTTTTAGTTTTCTAACGTCACTAATAAAATTAAAATGATTAATTTCATCATATGTTTACTACGGGATGCTTGAAATACTCACTCATATTTAATTTTCAGTTTATCCATTCCTCTCGGACTTAATACTTTTTGTAATAAATTGTTAAATGTTATCATATCTCTAATTTAACCACAATATATTAATTTAAATCGAATAAAAAAAATGTTAGTCAAAAAATATTTTTTCTGTAAAAATAATTGCAAATTTAGCGATTTTGGTTACAAAAGATGTGTGTGAATTGGACTATCATATTCGGTAACAAATTTTAAAAAAATTCTTCTATTCAAATAACAAAAAAATATGCAGGTAACGTTGAACAAGTAAACATTACGCCAACACGCATGGTTGTTCATTCGGAAAATGGAAAAATCGAGTAGAGAAAAAAAAAGTATTACATCAAAGGATGTTACTTCAAAATTTGATTTGCTTACTGTATTAGCTTATCTTCTTTTTTCGAATTTAATAAAAAAATCCTACTTCTTCTAGAAATACTGCTCCCAATGAAAAGATAAAATCATAAGTAAAAATTAAATTAATATTCATTTCGTTCATTTCATTTATTCCATTTTTATCATAATTTCAATTCGTTAGATATTGTAGGTGGTGCCTTATTAACAAATACTTAATAATGAAAATAGTTAATAAATTTATTAATGATCGACGATATTAAATATTTATACTTGTTTAATATATTAAAATATTATTAATTGTGTATATTCATACCGTATAAAGCATAAACACAATTTTTAATGGCCGAGTTGAGACGCATAACTTGTATATGCTTTAAAAAATTTCGGATATTAGACGATCTTAAATCTTGTAACATTATCATTATCAGAATTTCTGGAATCTTTGATTTTATGTATTGTGTCACAAAAAGTTGTAAATAAAGATCCTAAAAAATAAGTTTCATTTGGCAATACGTTTATTCCTTTTTTAGAGAAATTATAAAAAAAGTTATCGATGTAAATAATTTATGGTTAACAATCAATTGAGTGAATATTTAGATTAATAATCATAAAAATCAAATTTTAACATCAAATAATTAATTATCAATCGGTTGTATTACAGTAATTGAGATTCATAATCCTTGAAATCAAAGTTTCAAGCTAATTCAATCTATTGTATCACACGATTTTAGGCGTGTAAGTATTTAGATTCACCATCCAATATTAATTAATTCAATATTAAATAAATTCTATTTTAAATAATACTTTCATAAATTCTATATCTGTCTATATCTGTCAATATAGCATGCAAGTATTTAAATTTATAAATATTGAAATAAATTAGAAGCCAATCCACAATAAATAATATTTATTAAATCAATTATTAATAAATTGCATATACATTATATTACAGGGAGTGAGTATTTAGAGTCACGATTTTTTAAATCAAAGTTACAATCTAATTTAATAATAAATGACACTTCTCTAATCTATTATAAACTAATCATACATATCATATTACAGTTCGTGAGTATTTAGATTCAATTCAATGTTTCAATTTAATTTAACATCAAACAAATCTTTAATCAATTGTCAATTAATTACAGAAAGTAAGTGTTTAAATTTTATTATTGAAATCGATGTTTCGATTTAAATTAATAATTTTCTAATAAATCATTACATAAATATTATATTATAGAAAGTTAGTATTTAGATTCTTATTATTGAAATCAAAGTTTCAATTTAATTTATATCAATATTATATTATAGATTGTGAGTAATTATCCATTGATTCAAAGTTTCATTATTAAATAACGAATCTGTAATCAATTATTAATTAGTTACATAAATATTATATTCAGAGAGTGAGTATTTTCATAATTATTGAATTCAAAGTTTAAATTTAGTTCAATATATCAAATAACAACTCTAATCAATTATTAATTAAAAATATTATATTACAGATTGTGAGTATTTAGATTTATGATCCATTAATTCGAATTTCAATTTAATCCAATATCAAATAACAATTCTCTAATTAATTATTAATTAATCACGTAAATATTATATTGCAGAGAGTGAGTATTTAGATTCACGATCCATTAATTCGAAGTTTAAATTTAATTCAATCAAATAAAATTCTCTAATCAATTATCAATTACAGAGAGTGAGTTAGCGATTTGGGCTAAAGGGTTTATGACATTACGGGCTAAACTAAAAGACCAAATGTAGAAGGACTTTTTGTTATAAACGAAAATTTTATTTACTTCCTTAGGTTTAGGACTACTACTATCCTGGGTGGTTATTGCAGCAATAAGATTAATAAAATAAAAGATATAAAAAATATGGGCAGGTTTAGGATGGTTTAGCCTGAATCATTAAAGTGAGTATTTAGATAATAATTATTGAATTCAAAGTTTAAATTTAATTTAACATCAAATAACAATTCTCTAAACAATTATCAATTGATTACAGAAAGTAAGTGTTTAGATTTTATAATTGAATCAATGTTTCGATTTAAATTAATAATTCTCTAATAAATTATTACATAATATTATATTACTGATTGTGAGTATTTATATTCACGATCCATTAATTAAAAGTTTCTTTATCAAATAATTAATTAATATTCAAATTAATTGCAATAGAAAATATTCATAATATCTACTTATTATCAATAATATTTTTTATAAACAGAAATGGAGAGTGTGAGGAATGATTCAAATACCACACTAGTCAAAACAAATAAAATCACTGGCTAAAATCATCAAAATCAGAATTCCTAAGTATATGAAACTAAAAAATTAGACAAATTGATCATTTTATTCTTTACTATTCTTGCTGTCTATTCTTTTGTATTTGACTTGTGCTAGAAGACCTTTGCTATTATCGTGGAAGACATTTTAAGGGTCCATCCCAATCCAAACAAATTTGGAAGAGAATATTATAATCCTAGCATATGTAAGAAATAAAGAAATGTGGTGTGGATGTGATACACAGGTCAAATGCAAAAGAATCACTGTATGAATGGTAATTCCTATATAACAGATCAGCTAAAATTGCTAAAAATTGACTGTCATATTGCATCCTATATTAAAAATCAACTAAAATTGGAATTCTTTTTTGGTATGATAATTCTTTGTATTTGACCTGTAATAGATTCTCTATTATCAAAACTTCTATGTAACAAGTGGATAAATGAGATCCTGATTGAAATGTGAATACATATTGCTGTTTCTGTAGAAAACCAATAAGGATGACTAGCCTTTGTACACAACAGTAATGGAAGAGATTATGAACAATTTTATCAGTGTAAAAATAAAACTATTTACCTGATACAGAAGAAATACTTTATCCAAGAAAAAGAAGGGAGGCTATGAAAATGAAAGAGAAAGGAAAAGAAGCAAAACACCACCTGAGTGAAACACTGTTAACAATAATACAAATGTATCAGAAAATAGAGAATGTCAAATTGAAAAGAAAGTAATATAGCAAGAGGAAGACCAGTATTAGTATTGTACTGAGAGATGCCAATTTATGGATCATAAGGACTTGAAAAGTGGAAGAAAAACTTACTATGATGCAGATGCAAGGATGATACATGATGAAATAAATTTTTCATTGGAAGCAGTTAATTATGATGATAAAGGAAATGAATATTTCTTATGTTTGTGCTATAACAGATATTGTAAAGAGCATCAACATGAAAAGAAAATGTGTGATTGTCCAGTTGAACAAAGAATCGTCAAAAGATATTTGGAGGATCGAAATGCCCAGCTCCAAATTGCATGTATGAAGGAGAATACCAAAACTGTAGTCATAACTTTTGTAGAAAACATAAAGTTATATTTTAGGATATAAACATTGGTATGGAAGATGTATTTAATAAAGAGAATTTTGGATGTCAGAAAGCATATTTAAAACAATTGTAAATGTAAACAATTCAGCATTAGCACAAAAACTTTGAGAATTAACAAATGAATCCATCTGAAAATGTTGTGAAGAAGAACTTAAGATGTAGAATTGGCTCAGAAAGTTATAAAAATTATGTCAGAAAATGAAGAATTCAGAAAAAGAATTGAAGAATACAAAGTCATAGAAAAGACAATTTGTAACATGGAAGTGTCAATCTTTCATTGTGACAATTGTAAAGAAGAAGGAACAGACTATGTGTATTGTTCACAAAATAGTATAAATATGTATAGAACAATGTACTGTATGTACTTAGCTGAAGTAAAAATAAGAAAGAAGAAGGAGGAAGAACTTGATGAATTTAATAATCTATTTATAAGATATGAAGCTTTAGAAATTGAAAGAAGTGAAGAGTCATTTATAAAACAACAAGAAATCTTTGAAGAAATTTTGGCAGAATTTAATACAGTTATTGATTATAGAAATATAGATACAAAATATAATCAATAAATAACACAAAATAATATGAGGAAGTTACACACAGAGGAAGTAAAAAGCATAATTACCCTTGGAATTCTATTTGAATACAAGATAGAAAATAGCAAAATATGGAAAATCTTCACAATATAACTATAAAAGAGTATGTATCAATTATTCTATTTGAAAGGAACCCTAGAAACATATGGGCAAAAAAAAGAATCAATTATGAAAAAAGAATTTTATGACCATTAGCAATGTTCTAGAGGACATGTGGAAGACACAGATGGTTTACTATAACATGCAGATTATTTGAAGAAACAGGAAATAAATGCCAGATTAAAAGACTTTGTGACAGTTTTCTCTTTTTATGCTTTGGTGGAATAGTATTTTATTAGTACTTTATTTTTATTTTATTTTATTTTATTTTATTTTATTTATATTGTTGATAACATATAAGATTAGCATAATTTATTTTAATTAGCTCTTTTTATAATGTTAATCATCATATGTTATTCACTATTTATTCTTTTATATATCTTTATTATTATTCTTATTGTATTTTATCATTTTGTGGTGACAATGAAGGATTGGTAAGATGGTACAAAGATGACATGCAGAAAACATGTGGAGTGGGAGCACAAATGATGGAAATGATAAAGTTGTACAATGGTGGAAATGATGAAGTTATACAATGATGAAAATAATGAAGTTGTACAATGATGGAAATGATTGAGAAGCATAAATGATGGGAATGATGGAGGAGAGAAAAATGATAA